CGACTAATTTGTTCTTAAAACCTAAATATAATTTTATATGGCAGTATACCATACACATAAAAAAGAAAATGAGTTAAATGAATTTAAGAGTAAAAGACATCTTTATAGTACAGAAGGATTCCATTTTTCTCTAAGAAAAATAAGATTCAGAAAACTAAACCAATATTAAACTATGTCAAGGTATATTCATTAATAAATAGTTGCACATTTAAAATATAGATCTCACCTTGGTGGAAGTGCTGTTGATGAAATTTTAAAAGCACTTTTAAATATCACATCTTGAAGTGAATGCTCTTCTTGTAGCCTACTCTGAATCAGCTGCAGCATCCTAAATACACCACAAACAACACTTTAGAACTACAGCAAAGTACACCAAGAAAGCCAACTTATTCAAAAACTACAATGGTTAGCTAACTTAGCTAAGCTATAGCTTACATTATACTTATTATATCATTATAATGGTATTATAAGAACTTATTCTAAAATAATATACCAAGTTTTCTTTAGCCATTATCTTGAAAGCAGGAAAAGTGAGGCAGGGTGGCTAAGTGGTCTAATAGCTAAGCTCCTTAAGCCTGTCTGATTTTATCAACAATGGATGTGCAGCCAGGGTCACCAAGACAGAGCTCCTGCTCACCTGAGTATCTAAATTCATCTTTCATGTATGCATGACAATTACGAAATTCTGTCAGGCATTAAATTAAGTATCATAGGTACAAAGAAGACAAGTGAGGGGCCACAAAATATACGTGACGGACTTGAAGTGGTAGATTACTAGGATATAAACTCACACCACAGACATCTAATTCTCATTACAAAACTTCAAGAAAACTTTTCCTCTCTCCAATACTTCTACCATTGGGCCATATTGTCTCCTATGATTTTCAGCAATAACTTTGTATCATCAAATGTAGTATTATTTTACCTTCTTTAATTCTATTTCTGTAGTAAAGTTCAAATTCAGCAACTATAAAAATTATACATAGAGGGGAGGGAGGAACAAACAGGTGGAACACAGATGTTTAGGGCAGTGAAACTTATTCTGTATGTACTATAATGGTGAATGTATATCAATATACGTCTGTCAAAACCCATAGAATGTACAACACCAAGAGGGAACCCTAATGTAAATAAACTATGGACTTTGAGTGATGATGATGTGTCAATGTAGGTTTATTGCTTATAAAAAGTGTACCCAGTCTGGTGTGGGTGTTGATAACAAGGGAGGATGTGGGGATGAGAGGGGTAAGGGTACACGGGAACTCTGTACTTTCTGCTCTATTTTGCTGTGAACCTCATGACTCTAAAAAAAATCTATTAAAAATATATGCATAGGAACTTAAAGAAAGTAACTGTAAATCTAATAATACATCATCCCAACATAATGATAAAATA